TTGCAAACTCTTTCCATAGACTTTGCACACACACATACACACACATTGTATACATGCGTCAAAAATGATTAGGAAGAGGAGCTTCAGAATGCAAGGAAGCAACAGCTGAACACCACTTTAAAACAGCTGCTTTATGGAGACAAATCATTAAAGCAGCTACATCTTTCATTGAGAATCCTTAAAGCCACTGCATCTGCTTTTGGGTTTGTGCAAAAGCCTAAAAACAACTGGCTGCTTTAAAGAATTGCTCTGCTGGCATTCCCATATGTTCCAAAGCACTCTGAGTCATTTTTTAAATATGTATAGGCTGACTATACTATGTGCCCCCATGTCCATACACTGGGACATTTTATTTTACTAGTACATGTAGACATCTGTGAGAACTTACAGCCAGCTGAGGCTTCCTGTCAAATGTATGTGATCAACATTTGTGCCAGTACCATTCCTTACCATCCACAAAAGTGATGTCAGAGGAATGAAAGTCGAAATATTCCACAATAAAGCAAATATATGGATTCTTGCCTAATGCAGAAATGTCGTTTTGGAACTATCTTGCTTATTTAAAGATCCCTGAAAAACTGAGTTGAAGGGAGGGACTGCAAGCAAATAAAGCAAAAATTCTACTATGCAGATTAAAGTGGTATAGAAACCTGATAAATAAAATAAAGCAAACATAACTTGGGCGAAAAGCCTGAGGGATACCTCTCTGGATTGGCCGAGATATCTGGCGAAAGAAGATTAAATTAATTCCTTTGCACTCCTGACAGTTCAGTTAGTAAAGTTGGGGTATCTGCCATGATTGGCATCAGAGCCAGGCTAGGGATAGTGATTTGGAAAATACATGAAGGTTGTGTGTGTTTGTGTGTGTGCGTGCATGCATGCGTCCACCCATATGTCCATCTAATTTAACTCTACCCAGGCAGGTGTCCAGGAATACTGCCTAGAGTTATAACTTGGCAACCTTTAAAAGCATTTTTGGCCTGTCTGCTCAGAATACTGTCAAGGAAATTGCAGGCAGTGCTTTCGGGGAGAGGAGGTGAGAGGTGTATGTGTGGGGGGTAACTTGACCAAAACTCTCAACAAGAAGATCATCTAATTTTATGGGGTGTGCACATGGGAGGGGACAGAGAAAGGCCAGGATTACCTAGTATTGTGACAAAGGTACTCTGTCAGTTTACTTTCTTATATAATGAACTTCATGACTTCTTTGGGAAACATGAGCCAGCTGAGGGATGCAGTACTGAATCAATATATTTAAAAGGAGAACAAGAAGTTATGACATCATGATTCTCAGTGACAGCATGTCTTAGACACGTCTCATTGCTAGGGCTACCCAATCTGGGCTTCAAAAATCCCAGTGGCACTGGATGGCAGAAAAAGCCTATAGAAAACTCTGTTTTCATCTCGTGGTTGTCTGGATTTTGGCAGCCCAGGTACGGTAGCCCTATTTTTCCCCAGGAAAATGGGCCAGAAACGAACAAGCAGCTCACATAGACAGTGACGCTGCCCATCTCCAGTGGTACCCTGCTGTGGATGGAGAGACATGGGAAAACAATCAATGGGACCATCTGCTTTGCCTCTTGGGGACAGATCTAAAAATCCACATGGGGGGAGGAATTATGCCTATAAAAATTATACTTAGTTGTCTTCATAACTACTTGCAAGACATTTCTCGTTCATTTCTAAAATTCTCCTATGAGATGACAAAAGTACTTAAGAGCCAAGTGGAATTTCACACCTGGCCTCCTTGCTGGAAAGGGGTCCCAGTGATTTCCCACATTTTGGGGACCTCTCCTTGTGTGCAAATTCATCACCATGCTGAGGCATGCTTCTCATGTAACCTTATGAACACCCGTGCATATGAACAGCCAACTGGTCAGAGGAGTCCGAAACACACCAGGATATCAAAATAATGACACGTGTCATGACATAATCACAGAAAGAATGTTAACTTAAAACTTGAGTCATACCATCTGACCCAAGTATGTGAAGTCACATCCTATGCATCATGATTCATGTGTCCTTTGCCACCTGTGGATACCAGAATCTCTAGCCCTTCTGAATTAAGAACCAGACACTTCTGTAACAATGACTGAATTGCATTGCCATTTTCAGGGAATCTTGTATTACTTAGCGCCCAGGCTGTGTCTTGATTGGTCAGAAGTTTTGTTATGTAGCTACAGGTAATCCTCATTTAGTGACTGCAATGGGTTCCAATGACTCGGTCATTAAGAGAAATGGTCGCTAAGTGAATACTAAGTACTGAGAGAGATGCTGCAAATATCACTAGTTGCTGCCATCTCATTCAGATGATGTTCTCCTCATACAGCGCACTATGCCTGGCCAATTTTACCCCTTTCTTTCCCCCTTCGCAGGGTAGAGACATTGCTTAAACAAGCTCTCTCTTCCTGAGCTGCTTTTCTCTGGAGCAAAGGCTAACTGCAAGTTAACAAGCTCAACTCTGTGACCTTAATTAGTTGATTAGTTCCCTCTCCTGGCTGGCAGCTGTTGCCTGAAACTGACCAGACCTTAATCAGTTTCACACTGAAGGCTTTTGTTGTCCTAAATGCCATGTAGGTCGAAAAATGATTTATTACTGTTTATTACCATCGTATTTGTGAACGTTCACCATATGAGGCAGTTGCTAAACAAGGATTACCTGTATATCTTTGTATCTGATCTTCTTTGTAATGCCACCTTAACGTGAGACTCTTGGGTCCATTGTATGAATGCTCAGCGTTTGAAAGCAACAACAGAACGTTTCCAGCAATAATTCCTGCCCACCTGCCTCAAGGGCCCCTTTGCCTTCCTTTCTATCAACCCAGCCATCAAAAAATACACGGACAGTTTCCAAGCTAGCAATCTTACTCCCAGATCTTCCATTTGATTTGGGATCAAAATAGACCTTGATCATTTTTAAGTTCATCACATCTTTGTAATTATGATTGGCTAGATCACTCATAAGGACTCCTTGGCTCATGGCTAATTGGATGTATGTCACTTTCCAGTAGCCACCGTTTCTGTAATTGACTGTGCATGATGGAATAGTTAAAAATAAAAAATAATTCAAACAAACCTCTAGGCCCAGCCTCACAACAGGAATGGCACAAGACATCAAGCAATCTGGTCCCCCAGTTCAAAGATGACCTGACTTCATATGGGACAAGAGGAGGTTATACACCAGTGTGCTCTTCTGCCCCCTCCTGACAGGAGTCAGCACAGCACACCGCACGAGTAAGGCAACTGGAGCTGCCCAGGATTTCAGTTTGTTAGGGACAGGGAGCCAGAGGGGCCTTTGGATTATCATACAGTGGACAGCCAGGAGCCCAAGAACTTCTCAGAGAAATGATTCAGGCATTCAGGTATGCACAGCCTGAATAAAATACCCAAGGCCTGGATGGCAAACTGAAGTTGCCTGAACAGGGTCCTCTCTAATCCACCATCCTTTCTCCCTCCCAGAAAGAATTAAGAATCACGGGTGAATCTTTAATCTATTTTGATGAGGCAGAGGCACCATCCCCTGCTAGTGCAGTACAAGGAATACTGCTAGTGCAGTACAAATCTGCTAGTGCAGTACAAGGAATACTGAAAGGAGTATGAACTAGCACACGATGCTCTGGCTCAGATGTAAATGGCATGTGCAAGTCACAGTGGTTTAAACTCGGTGGGTGACAATGAGATTCCCACTACGGTGCTTCAAAGCATGCTTGCCCTGCCTCTGGGGGCATTCAATGTCCACTGAGAAATCTATCCCATTTCCCCGAGGGCCTTTTCAACATTACAGCTTTAATGAGGCCAGGTTACAGATCGGTGAAGTGCACCGCTCCAAACAGCAACGTTTCAAAGGTCGGTGCTGCAGAGGCGTGCCGGGACGCGAACAGGGACGGCGTTAATACAATACAGAATGAAATGACCCTAAAGAGGAGAATGCTTGCTTTCAAGTTTCCTTCTGTTTTTCCCACTGAAAATATCGTCTCCTGGTTTCTACGCCAAAGTCTCAGATTCAGCGAGAACAGCCATAAAAGCTTTGCAGGGGCTCAGCTCAGCAGATCAACACGTTTGCAATTCGGCAGTTTTCCAAGCTAAGTCCATCTTCCTTGCTGGGAGATTCGTAAATTGGCAAGTGGGAGCTGAGGCTGAGAAAAGAAAACTTGTTTCCCCTAAATGTTCCTCCCCTTTCCCCATGGGAGGCAACTCTCAGGGTCACACGATGACTGCTTGCAGCTATACCCCTAGAGTAGTGTTTCTCAACCTTGCGGAGTTTAAGATGGGTGGACTTCAACTCCCAGAAT